CATCTCCGGGGACCCTCCCTCCCAACGCGGGATCCCTCTCAGCCCACCCCCCCTCCGCCCGGGACCCCCGGTTCCCCCCCCCATCTCCGGGGACCCTCCCTCCCAACGCGGGATCCCTCTCAGCCCACCCCCCCTCCGCCCGGGACCCCCGGTTCCCCCCCCCATCTCCGGGGACCCTCCCTCCCAACGCGGGATCCCTCTCAGCCCCGGCCCCCCTCCCCCGGGACCCCCCGGCCCCGGATCCTCCCCGGGGACCCTCTACCACCGCCAACGAGCCCCCCCCATCCCCTGGGACCCCCCTGGCCCCCTCCTCCCTCCGTACCTCCCCCTCATCCCAGTGACCCCCCCCTCTCCCTCGGGATCCCCCAGCCGGGTCCCTCCCCGCCCCCGCTGACCCGTCCCGCTCTCCACAGGATGATCACCGACGTGCAGCTCGCCATCTTCGCCAACATGCTGGGCGTGTCGCTCTTCCTGCTCGTGGTGCTCTACCACTACGTGGCTGTCAACAACCCCAAGAAGCAGGAGTGAGGGGCCGCCCCGCAGGTAACGCCCGGCCCGCAGCCCCGGGAGACAGTGGCTGGGCACTCGGGGGTGGGGTCTTGGCCCCCATTGGCACAGACACCGCTGGGCACTGGCTGGGCGCTCAGAGCGGGGGTGGGGTCTCGGTCTCTCGTGGCACAGGCACCGCGTGGCTGGTGAAGTCTCCCGTGAGCATGGTGCTCTCTGGGTGGGCTGGCTCGTGTACAGAAGTGAGCAAGATGCCCCCTCCCCTAGCTGGCCCGTGGGTCTGGCTGTAGCTGGTTTCCCTGGCAGCGCGTTCTGGCCTGTGAGCTGCAGGGCCTGCCCGGGGGCCGTTCAGATGCAGCAGTCGAGCCGTGTAAGGGGGCGGGGAGGCTGCAGGTGGGGACTGGTCCCCTTGGCATTAGCGCCGGCTCCCCTCCCAACTCGCCCTTGTACCCTGAGCTGTTTGTCCTTGTTTGCCCTGACAGAGCCTGGAGCACGGCCTGCCATGGCCAGAAGCAGAGCTGACAGCCGCGCCAGGCCCCGCAGCGTGGCTCCACAGCGCACCCCACCGTAGCTTTGTGCAGACAAACCCACTGGACACAAATAAATGGCTGGAACCTCCCGTGTGCGGGCGCCTTGGTGTCACTCCGGTGCCAGCAGAGCCCTACCTGTGGGGCAGAGAGCGTGCTGCTAGGAGTGGAGGAGCCCTTCAGCTGGGAGCCCAGGTTAGACTCCTGCTCCAATCACAACAAGGGGTGGGACAGGGAAGCCATTGGCCCCACCCCCAGCTCCCCATGTTCACAGCCCCAGAGAAGAGGCAGGTGTTTGAGGAAGGTCTCCCGGTGACTTGCACCAGGTTGATCCCCAGGCCAGAAGGGACCACAGTGATCATCTGCTCTGACCCCTGCCTGGCTCGGCCCCCCAATAATTATCCAGAGCAGAGTTGGTAGATGGAGCATCTCCCACAGCCCTGGGGGGATTCTTCCAGTGGATAATTACCCTCCCTGTTAATTATTAACACCTGATTTCCGGTCTGAAGCTGCCTAGCTTCAACTTCCAGTGACTGCCTGGAGTTAGCCCTCCTCTGAGAACTGGCTCTTCGACTAGCAGAGGTACTTACAGCCCAGGAGCCTTCAATCTCTTTAGGGAGCTCGATCTGTCGCTGCAAGGCCTGTTTTCTAACCCGTTAAGCATTCTCATGGCTCTTCTCTGCCCCCTCGCCAATGTACCAGCATCCTGCTTGCATTGTGACCATCAGAACCAGACCCAGGAGCCCAGCAGAGGAAATACAGAAGGAAAATAACCTCTGGCTTCCTACTCAAGAAGCCCCTGTTCATGGCCCCCAGCGCTGCACTGGCAGCTCATGTTCAGTCCCCTGCAGGCTCTCGCTCACTGCTGCCACTCTCTGCGGGTGTTAGGCCTCAGAGCGATTCCTGCCTGGTCCCATGGGCGAGGGGGGGCTCGCACAGAGCTCCTGCAGCCTTTGCCAGCTGAAAACTAGTGTTATCCACAGCCCGGGGCCCTGCTGTGCTGTACAAGCCCCCGCAGCCTCCCTGCTGGGAAGGGTCCCTGACAGTCTGGGCTCCCGTCCCGCTCCCCAGCTGGGCAGAGCTTGGCCCGCTAGCAGCCAGGAAGCTGCCTGCCCCGGCAGAGGCTCTGAGGGAAGGGGTGGCTCCTGCCAGCCGGGCGGTGCTGGTGGGCACAGCATGCAGGCTGCATTAACCCCTTCTCCGCGGGGGCAAAGCTGGCCCTTGGTTCTCTTGCCCTTCCTCCATCAGTCCAGCCTTGTCTTTAGGCCTCCCCAGTCGCTGCCTTCCTGTACCAGCAGCCCCCTCGCTGCCGCTCTGGGCGCGGTGGGCTCCTGGCCCACTTTAGAGGCCTGCCCCAGACTACAGAGCTCAGGGGACATTTCTTCCAAACAAACTTTAATAGAAACACGTTACAAGACAAACCCGATCTCATAAAAATAGCTTCAAACCCATGAACAACTCTAGCGGCTCGGCCGAGTGGGAGGCAGCGACCGACTGCAGCAGCAGGAGAATGGCTCTGCCTTGGTGGCTGGCTGCAGGGCTGCTCCAGCCCTGCCCCTGCCCACACGGAGTTGTGCTTAACAGGGAGGGGCTGGCCAAAGCGGCTAGCCTGGGGCCCAGGCACGGGGATGGGAACCGACCTGCAGCTCCGGGGCCTGACTTGGTTCTGCTCATGAAGTAGCCTTAGCAAGAGCCTGCCCCGGTTACAAACTGTTCCCATGGGGTGTGCCGGGGAGAGCCCTGACTGGAGATACCCGGCCTGGGACCCTGGAGCCCACTGAGGTTCTGCCCGAGGACACGCCCACGGACACTCCCTCAAGTTGCCTCCACAGCCCTGCTGGGTGTGGGGCAGGGGCCAATCCCTGAAGCAGGACAGCTACTGTGGGGAGACACCATCCCAGCAGGCCACGGCCCCCCAAGGCCTCACTGTGGCAGGAGGGAGCTGCCCACGGGCCGGGTTCTGAGACACACCATGGGAGCTTTGGCTTAGTGGACGGGGAGAAGGGCGGTGCCTCCCTGGCACCAGCTGGCCCCTGCTAGAAAGCCCTTTGCCCCGGGTTGATTCTCCTGCACCCCAGCCTAGGGGCTAGTGCAGCAGCCTGACCCAGTGCCTAGCCCTGCCCAAGTCTCCCCACTGCCCAGGGAGACACGCAGAGTGATGGTGTCTGCAGCGGCTCCCCAGGCATCACCCCCATCTCCAGCCCCTGGCACCATGGCTGCTGTTGGCACCCCCAAACTTGTGACCCAAATCAGCCAGCTGGCTGGAGGTTAGCGGGGACCTGCACAGGGCTCTGGGACTAGCTGGGGAGACCAGCAGTGCCCCTCTCTGCTCAGGCTGCTCCAGCAATGGCCGGGCAGGGAGGTGCTGGGCACGGACCCTGCAGGGCGAGCAGGGCTGGGTGGAGACTCTCCCTCCATAACAGCTTTGGTTTGCAAGGGGAGGCAGAGCAAGCCCTGGGCAGGGTGGGGATGCTGCTCGGCTCAGCCCGACGTCCCCTGCAGCGCGGGGGCAGGGGCTGCACCCAGCTGGAGACGGAGGTGAGTGCAGACAGGCGAAGGCTGGAGCCGGTGGCTGCTCTCAGGCTTCAGTGCAGAAGGACAGGATCTTGTGGTAGGAGCTGAGCGGGGGCGAGTCGGGGGCCCGGCTTGGCAGATGCTGCAACAGAGAAGAACAGGCTGAGGGGCTGGCAGAGGGGCTCTGTGGCAGGCCATGTGCTCGCCCAGAGCGGTGCCAGCCGGAGAAGCCAGCACAGCTCAGAGCATGGCCACCCGCCAGAGTGCTCTCCCCAAGCCGGCGAGGACAGGGCCACGCTGCAGCTCTGGTGCCAGGGCTGCCTGCCCCGGGAGCAGGGGGGCAGCATTGGAGACACGGGCCCTGCTTGGGGTGGGTTCCCCAGCCCCCTCCCAACATCCGTGGGGCCCGGTACCTCGCTGAGCAGGCCCTCGGGGTCGTCGCAGATGAAGAGCGGCTCTGTTGTCTGCATCCCCACGCTGAGTGATGCGGTGTCCTCTGGGAACGCTGCAGAGGAACAGAGCCGGAGTGTCAGCAGCCCCACCCGCCCCACCTCCCAGTGCCAGTAGCTCCGTGGGGCTGGGCACAGGGGCTGGGTTCCCAGGCAGGCTGACTGCCCCCAGGGGGGTGGCGCTGGCTCAGGAGGAGGAGCTTGCCCAGGTGCTGCCTGAGCTGCTCCTGCTTCGGTGCCCAGGCCTGAGAGTGGCATCACGCAATGGCCCCCACCCCCAGGTACGGGGCTGGAAGGGGGCCCAGCTGACGGCCTGCACTGAAGAGTGCAGCCACCTGGCTTCTAGCCCCAGAGGCAGCACGGCCCAGCAGACGCCTGGCAGCTAGTCTGGGGGCCCCACCTGTGGCAGGGCACATGGATGAACCTGCCCTACCTGGCAGAGACCTTTGGGCCAGGGCTCCAGCGTGGGTGTATTTCCAGACCTTGAGGGCTGAGGTGCTCTCGCTGCCGAGCCCCAGCAAACTCGGGGCGCATGCTGGTGCCTTCTTGCGGATGGGGATCCTGCTGGGGCGTAGCGGCCCCAGGCTGCAGAGAACCAGAGGCAGTGCTTACAGCAGGAGCGCCAGGGCCGGGAGCTGTCACGTCCCCTCTCTCCGCGGTTCTGTGCCCCTTGCGCCTGGCCTGGCTGGAGCAGAGGGTGCCAGCAAAGCTGCTCTACTCTGCCCTCCCAGCGCTGGGAGTGAGGGGCTCAGTCCAGGCTCACTGCGACCCCCAGAGCTGGGCCTGGCTGCAGGACGAAAGCAAAGGCGCACGGCGTGACAGGAGCTGGCTTGCGTGGCTCCTCGGGGGCCCCAAAATGGACAGCGGTTGGGGCAGCCGCCATTTAAACACTGCTGGCATCTTGCCAAGGAGGGTCCAATGGACCTGATCTGAACCCCACCCACTAGAGCCACGTCCCCTCCCTCTGGGTAGCACAGCGCTCGGCTGCGTCCCCTTGGAGCAGGGCTAGCCGGCTGTGTGTTGGGGGAGGGGTCTGAGTCCCTCCCCAGGGGGCATGCTCAGCAGGCTGGGAAGGGGCTGTGTCCCCCTGGGAGCCACATACCGGATTCTGCAGCTGCTCCCCCTGGGCCCCAGAAAACACAACAGGCCTGGGGCGGATGCACTGGAGCACTGCAGGCAGGTTCCCAGCTCCTGAGGCTGGTACCAGCTGCTGGCCAGGCCCTGCCCGGCAGCACAGGGACAACAGTGTTCACTGCTCCTGGTTGCACCTAGTCCCACCCCTCCAGCCCCTTGGGCTGAGGCCGCAGGGCAGTGACTGCCGGGGCAGGTGGCCAGCAGGGGCATGTTAGCCAAGGAAGGGCTCCCCAGGCAGCCAGGGTCTGAACTCAGCGGCTCTAACCAGAGGCAGCCCCCTGACAGTCAGTGGGGCTGGGTCCCCTCCAGCCGCACGCCCTAGCCTGGCTCCCGCATCCACAACGGCAGGAGGGGGGCAGAGGGCCAAGCCCAAGGTGCGTTACAGGAGTAGCTGCATCCCCCGGGGCACACCATGGGCCTGCCCAGAGCGCTGCAGGGTCCGAGGCAGGGCAGGTGCTGGGCCCTGGGGATGGGAGGTCCGTGCAGCCCCGGGGGCTCCAGCGCTTTCTCTCACACCATAGGAAGTGCCTGCAATGGAAGGGCCCGTCTGGATCCCCAGCACAGCATTTCCCAAAGCCCCCCCTTGCTCATCCCTCAGGGCAAGACAGAACACAAGACTGGCCAGGCTGGGTCAGACCAAGGGTCCATCTAGCCCAGTGTCCTGTCTGCCGACAGTGGCCAACGCCAGGGGCCCCAGAGGGAATGAACAGAACAGGGAATCGTCCAGTGATCCAGCCCCTGTCGCCCGCTCCCAGCTCCTGGCAAACAGAGACTAGGGACACCACCCGTGCCCAGCCTGGCGAATAGCCTCATGTAGTCTGATGGGCTCCCACGTGCCCCGAGGGGCAGAGTGAGACACCAGGGAGCCAGAGCTGGGAACACCCTGCCTGGCCAGCGCTTGGTGGGACTGGGGCTCCGGGAGGCTGTGGGGCGTTGTGGTCAGGGAGCTGCCCGGAGCCCCCCACCCCCGGGGCATGGCCCTCCAGTGCCCTCCCCCAGCGCGGGGGACACGGTACCTGGGTGGTTCCAGGACTTTCCTGGTGCTCAGCCTCTTCGGAAGGTTCTAAGCAGAAAGACAGGAGCCGATTGGAGAGGGCTGGGGGGGGGGCAAGATCCAGCCCAAGCCCAGCCCAGCCCAGCCGCTTGGAGATGGGGTGACAGCAGCCAAGCACCACGCTGGGCTCCCTGCCCATCCCCTGGGGCTCTGGCCACCTGCAGCATGAGGGGGCCACCCCCCATCCCTTGGCTTCCAGGGCAGCTCCAAGCCTGGGGCCCCCACCCAGCCGAACCTCCCCTGTGCACACAGCACGGACAGCGAGTGCAGAGTGGAGCCCGTAGGATCTGATGGGAATCCAGGGACCCAGTGGGGGCTGTACTCAGCCCAGGGAGGAATCTAGTCGCTGGGTGGAGCTGGAACCCAGAGCCCTGGGGGTGGGCGACCCTCAGCCTCTCCCAGAGGAGCATGGGGCCAGCAGAGCCACCCAGCAACTCACGTGATGGCCAGGACCTTCCTCGCCGGCCCAGCCCCACCCCCAGGCCGGCCCCGCAGCAGGACAGCCAGCGTGGGGGCTGGCTGGAAGGGGGCAGAGGAGCAGGGTTACAGAGGAAAATGTCAATTCCAAACCATTTCCCTTTGGAAATGCTGCCCCATGCACCCCTCTCTGCTATAGGCGGGTGCCCAACCTCTCCGCTATAGGCGGGTGCCCAACCTCTCCCAGGCCTCCCCACGGGGGCCCAACCTCTCCCAGGCTGCCGATCATCAGAGCTGTAGTCTGTGCAACCCCCCCCCCATCAATTCCCGTGCGCTGCAGGGGCCCCAGACTCTCCTGGTCTCTGCCGGCAGCTGCCAGAGGCTCTGGCGGGCGAGTTCCTGGCTCAGCACAGGGAAGGGGTTCGGACGGCCCTGGCCGGGGACAGACGGGCTGAGACCGGGTGAGCTAATGGGCCCGTTAGGGGCCTGGCTCCCAACTCCCATGGCAGAAGACCCACCTCAAAGGGGGCTGGTGGGGGGATCCAAGAGAGCAGGCATGTGACCACAAGGGGCAGGGAGGGGCTGGCTTAGAGGCTTCAGGGGGTAGCAGCCAGGTTGGTTTCCACGTTCTTCCCAGCTCCGAGTGTTACCTGCACCAGCGCCATGCCATAGGGGGTCTTCGGCTCTTCCCGGCCGTGCTCGGCTGCCTGAAGTCCACGGCTGGTGATCACCAGAGCCCCGGCCTTAGTGCCCGTGGGCGAGGTCCCTAGGTGACAAACGAAAGAGAGCTGAACCCCGTCAGTCCCGGCACTGGAAGGGCACGCTGCAGGAGCAGTGCTTGTGGGCGTCGCTGGCTGTACCTCCATGGTACCGTGCGGGCAGAGGGCAGCGGTGGTACGTGTGCGCAGGGAAAGCGGGCTATGCTGAGCTCTGCTGTGAGTGTGTGATGGGTGACCAGTCCTTGGGAGTTCAAAGGGAGGCGGAAAGCTCGCAGAATCCAGGCCTGAGCGGCAGTAGCGTAGCCAGGTTCTAAGAGCAGGGGGAGCAAACACATAAAAAAAGGCGCCCCACCTTGGCTGGCTCCTCTGACCACGCGCCCCCCCCGCCCCGGCTCCTCCAGCCACACTGCGGCCGTGCTGCGCGCGTTCCCCCTCGCTCCTGCGTCTGCACCCGCCCATGGCTCCTCCGGCCGCGCTGCAGCCATGCTGCGCCCCACCCCCTTGGTCCTCCGGCTGTGCCGTGCTGCCCCCCCTTGGCTCCTCTGGCCGTGCCGCACCGCCCCCATCCCGCGCCTCACTCCTCCAGCCGCGCCCCCTTGCGTTTTTTTTGCGGGGGGGGGGGGGCCTCACCTCTGCTCCACCTCCCTGGGCCTGAGTGCACCACCGCTTGCTTCTCCGCCCCAGGCTTCCCGCGCGAACAGCTGATTCGCGGGAAGCGGGGTGTGTGTGTGGAGAAGCAGAGCAGGGCGGCGCCTTCAGGGGAGGAGGCGGAGCGGAGGTGAGCTGGGGTCGGGGCGGGGAGCTGCCAGTGGAGCTGCACCCACCCACCAAATTTTGGAGCACCCACGAGTCGGCGCCTAAGGAGAGTCCAGAGACGCCAGCTTTGGAAAATCTTTATTCCTCCCACTGGGGCGGCTAATACAGGAACGCGAGGAAGCCTGGCCCAGGCCTGGCAGCGGCGTATCACCCCCACAGCAGAGTACAACCGTGCCCCGGGGCAGCCACACTGACCCTCCCATGGCCCCAGGAGGCCGGGCAAGGCAGACTGCGAGGGAAGAACAGGCAGCCAGGGCCCAGTTGGGCTCCGAGGCAGGAGCTCCAGGGTCCCAGCTCCCTCCACGCCCTGTGGCGGCAAAGCCAGGTCTGGCGCCTCCTTGGGCACGTCCCTGCCTGCAATGCCGGAGCACCCCCGCTTCCCCCCATGCCTCGGCCCCAGAGCAGTGTCTGCCTGCACTGCCCCTGCCCTGGCCCGCAGGACGTGGGGAGGGTCACAGGCTGCTCTGCTCTCTGGGGGTAGCACCGGCTCAGAACACGCTGCGCGCCCCAGGCCACTGGAGTGGGGTTACAACGAGGCTATTTCAGTCAGGGCCCCGCCTCTCCTGCCATGCTGGCCATCGCCTTGAGTCCTGCGCTGCCTTGCCGGGCTGGTTCTGGCCCTGTTAGCGTAGGTGGCATATCCAGCTACCTGAGGGAGCCGGGAGGAGCCTGCACCACAGGGCCTGGGGACAGCCACAGCCCAACACTGGAGCACAATGGGAGCCGCCCGCTGCCGTCCCACGCAGGCCTCGCTGCGGAGCGGCCAGTCACTAGGACAGAGGCACAGTAACCAAGCGACCCGCCTGGAGACAGGCCTGGGCTGGCAAGAACTGTCTGGGCGCAGACACACTGATATGCACGAGGGGGCACCAGGACCGGCCTCCCAGCAGAGCCCGGGGACCGGCCACCACACAGCAGGATGCAACGCTCGCTCCGTGAGCTCCATGTCCAGGCCTCCCTCTGCCAGCACTGCTGCCAGGCTAGCTTGGCCCTCCCCGGGAAGGGGGAGCCTCTCGCCTAAGGCCTGGGCCCTGGCCTGGAGAGATGGGCTGAGCGTGGAGAGGCCGGGGGTGGAGCAGACACAAACCTGACAGGCTGAGGGAGGCTGGCAGGGAGCAGGGGCGCAGGCTGGCGGGCGGCGGAGGCTGGGACAGACGCCTGGCACAGGGAGGGAGAGGCGCTGGTGGCTGGATGCTGCTGGTCGCTGCTCGCAGCAGAGTCAGGTGCTGCTGGCGCCGTTTGTCCTGCACGCGGGGCTCTGGGGAGGAGGGAGTTTGAAGAAAGTTCAGGAAGGGGCTGGCGGTGTTGCTCACCCCCTCCCCTCACACAGTGCCCTATGCCCCCTGCCAGGCGGAGGAGCCTGCCAAGCGCAGAGGCAGAGCGACCCACCTCCCTGCTGCAGGCTCTGCCTGACACCAGCCCCTCCAAACTGGGGGGGCACCGTGCGAGCTGGGTCCAAGAGCAGAAGGCGCAAGTGGCCCCCTGGGGACCCCCAGGGACAGGACAATCTGCAGCCGGGTCCGGCTGTCACCGGACTCCAGATGGCCCTGGCAAGGGCACCAATTCCCCATGACCTGCCCAGGGCACCACTCCCACGAGGCACTCAAAGCACGGCCAGGCCGCCACACCTGGGTGCTGGAGCCAGGCTCTGAAACAGGAGGGGCCGGATCTGCAGCCCCAGCTCCCACGGGAGCCAGAGCTGCAGGCACGCCTAGACACGTCTAGCTCGGAGCCTGACTGGAGCACCAGGCCGGGCCATTCAGTCAGCTGAAGGCAGCCCGCCTAGGATGGCAGAGAACCGCCACGACAAGCCCCCCTCCAGCTCTCTCCACGCTCTGCAGCTGCCTGGCCGTGCCGGGGGGCTGATGTGTCTTTCAGCCCGCAAGGCCTCAGGGGAGAGCGCAGCACTGAGCGCACAGGCCTCCCTTACACAGCACACCACAGCCCGGAACGGTCACCAGCCACCTCTGGGGAGGAACATAGCAGCTGCTAAGCAGCACATGGCAACCCCCCCCCAGCAATTTAGGACAGGAAGTGAACAACAAGCAGCGCGGGAATTTTAGGGTGACAGTTTAATGATCAAGTAGGAACCAGGCCAAGGTAGTGTGGTTAAACTCTTCCCAAACGCCATGGCATCAGGCCGCCATTTGACATCTCCTGTGACCCTCAGGCTGCCATGAGCACAGGGCCCAGCAGCGACTGGCTCACTTGCTGGCAGGGCCCACCCTGGCCCCGACCTGCAGTCGCTGCCCCTTGCGCTGGTGAGCTCTTGGGGCAGCTCATACAAAAGGGCCCCAACCCCACTTGGTGCTTTTGGGCACGTTTCTGCTGCCCCATTCCAGTGCCACAGCTGGGGGGGCGGGGGGCGCCCACTGGGAATGAAATGGAGCTGGCAGCAGCCTCACAGGGCTCAGCACACAGCAGGAGGGGGCCTCACCCTCTGGGCCGAGGGGTGTAACGGGGGAACAGCTGGCCTGGCAGCAAGCCCCTGCGTGGGTAGCATGCTGGAGGGGAGATGGCTGGGGTTATTTCTGCAGCAGCAGAGCTGGGAACAGTGTCTCCGAGGTGAGGAGCTGGCCCCCTTTCTGCTCATGCACCACCCAGCCCGGAGCTGGCTCTGCGCGGGGACCAGGCAGGAGCGGGGACGGGGCATGCACAGCAAGCTGCGGCCAAAAGCCCAGCTGGAAGGAGAAGGGAGTCAGCCAGGCCGGGAAACACAGCTGCCTTGTGCTGAACAGCCCTGCCCAGCAGTTCCTACCACAGCCTCAGCCAGGCAGGTGGAAACAAAAAAAGGGCTGTTTGACCAAAGCAAAAATCTTCTATGAAAAACTTTCATTTTGGCCAAAAGTCCCCCCTCGCCCCCAAACCCAGAAACTGGAAACTTTGTGAAAGTTAAAAACATGCAAGATTCCTACAAACGCTGCTTGGCGTGTCTGTGCCCGCTCTCGTCAGCCATGGCCCTCGCCCTCCCGCCCCCTGGCTCGGGCTAGGCTAGCCAGTGACTCTCTGCTGCCCTGCCCCACTCTGCCAGAGCCGGGACGGTGGAAACAAGCTCTGTCGCCCACACTGCGCACTGTCGAGAGGATCCAACCGGAAATGCGCTTGGAGAGTCTCTGAGGAGAAATGGGGGCCCCTCTAATTCTGTCTGCCTGGAACACACCCGGCAGGGTTTAGTCTTGTCAAAATAAAAAGCTAACGCTCTCCTGAGGTGTGAAGTGCTGGTGAATGAGGCCCTGATTGACATCCAAGTCTGGGGATGGGGTTGGAAGATACCTTTCCGTTACAGAAAATGGTGTGTGCATGAGGGTGGAGGGGTGTTACCACAGAGTCCCACTGGCAGTTCACTACTGTGGCAGCAGCTTGTGAGGCCTGGCACACTCACTACGTCCATCGGTATCTGAAAGGCGTGATGTAAGGCATACACAAACTGGTGACGCCCTGGTCCCAAAAATCATCATGTGTGTATGTCTAGGGTGTGTAAAAAAATTAGAAATAGATGCTAGAATTCAGTTCTTAAAATGCGTCTGGCAAGCAGGCCAGGAACCCCAGCCCGCCTAAGCCAAAGGGATACGCAGCTCCTTGTCTGACCAGCCTGGTCGCCAGGCAGAGACAATGAAGGTACATTTACATGCAAGGTAGACAGAGCCATCAGGCAAACCAGAATGGGGGATGGACACTTAACACTTTCATGGGGAATGGAAGCTGCAGCTCCAGGAAACCTTCCTTAGTCTTTGGAAGATATAAGCAATGACAGAAAGTCATTTTGGCATCCACTACTGGGCAGACAGAAGAGGCCCGAGCGGTGCATCTGTAAAAAGTGGAGGTTCAAAGTCTCTATAAACTGAATCTAGGTGAAAACCTGACTTGGGGCAAAAGACTCTAGTTTGTTAAATTAGATTTTATTCTTAGAAGCGCAGCTTTTACTTGTTTGTTTGTAATAATTTAATTTGGAGAAGAGACGACTAAGGGGGGATATGACCAAGGTCTATAAAATCATGACTGGTGTGGAGAAAGTAGATAAGGAAGTGTTATTTACTCCTCATAACACAAGAACTAGGGGTCACCCAATGAAATGAATAGGCAGCAGGTTTAAAACAAACAAAAGGAAGAATTCCTTCACACAACGCACAGTCAACCCGTGGAACTCATTCCTAGAGAATGTTGTGAAGGCCAAAAGTATAACTGGATTCAAAAAAGAACTAGATCAATTCATTGAGAATAGGTCCATCAATGGCTATTAGCCAAGATGGGTAGGGATGCAACCCCACGCTTTGGGTGACCCTAAACCTCTGATGGTTAGAAGCTGGGAATGGATGACGGGTTGGATCACTAGATAATTGCTCTGTTCTGTTCATTCCCTGTGAAGCGCCTGGCACTGGCCGTTGTCAGAAGACAGAATACTGGGATAGGTGGACCACTGGTCTGACCCAGTGTGGACATTCTTATGTTGTAAGACATAGGCTCCCAAACTGTGGGTTGTGGCCCCAAATGGGGTTGTGCCGTAAGCATATGGGGAAGCAGGTCCAATGGGCCTGAGAGATGATGCTGTCAGCCCCTGAATGTGTCTGGACCAGCTCCACAAATGCCATGCCAGGGGGCGGCAATGCTGAGCTACAAAATAGCAGCCTCTGCCCAGTGTGATCTTGCACACACTGTACAGGTAAGGCTGCGCTGGGCGGAGGCCACCATGTTGGCAGCATCCTGGCGCAGCGTTGGTGGAGCAGTTCCAGACACACTGGCTCTGCAGATGCCAGTTGGGCCATTTGCACCATTCCAGCTGTGCAAGCATCCAGCGGAGGGGTTTGAATGCAGAAGAGCCTTAGCTGTGGGCATCCTCTCTGCTGGAGCTGGGAGGAGCCTGCGCTGGCCTTTCCTCAGAGGGGAATCTGCAGTGGCTGGTTAGCTCCTTAAGGCAGGGCCCATATCTTCTTGCATCCCTGTTGGCACGCACGGAAAGAGAACCACTGCGAGTCACTGCCACACAGGGCCTTCCTATGTCCTGGCCTCACTCGCTTAACAGTGAACTATTATGGGAAGGGACCCAGTCAGCTCATTTTTATGCAAAGGATCTGCTTCAGCCTCCAGCGGAGAGTCTAGTGATGCAGTTAGGAACGAAAGACAAGAGTCCAAGAAATGTGCTCACAAACTTGATGGGCTTTCTTTGATAATGGCTTCACCAGTGTTTTGGTCAAGAACGAAGAAAGGCCAGAAATGCCTGTTACACCCCATGGTGCTGTCTAGCGACACCATGACACCTAACAAACTGAAACAACACTTGGAAACCCCTGACAAGGAACGCAGGAAAACCAAGGTAATCTTTCCAATGCCGGAAAGAAGAACTTTTGTATCAACAAGTGCAATTCAAGAGAACCAAGTCTGGCTCTGGTCAAGCTCAGAAAGCATCATTTGAGGTTGCTGCATTGATTTTGCCAGCTGCAATCGATCTGGCGAATACAGCACGTGGGGAACCAAACAGAACAGCTTTCCCTAATTCTTCCTCAGATGGAACCCTTGGGGCCAATCGTCTAAGTAAGGGAAGATGAAAATCCCTTGTTGGCTCAGATATACTGCTGCTGGGGCCAGACGCTGGGTATGAACTCTGGGCGTGGTGCTCTAGACCAAGGGTAAAAGGTAGGTATTTGCAATGGGAGGGTCTTAAGGAAATATGCATCTTTGAGATCGAGAGCAGCAAACCAAACCAGAGTAGACAGGGAAGGAATAATCACAACCAGGGTTAGCATCCAGAACGGATTCTTCCTAATGTGTCTGTTTAAAGCTCTGAGATCAAGAACTGTTCTGAGCCCTCCATTCTTCTTTGGGATTAGAAAGTATCGGGAGTACAGCCCTTTGTTTCTGGAAGTTAATCATACTTCTTCTATAGCTCCTGCTTGCGACAGAGCTTGTATTTATGGCCTCAATAACCTCTCCTGGGAAGGGGCCCTGAAAAGGGTGGGGAGGGGAGATCTGCATGGAGGAAGGGATTTGAACTGGATAGTATCACTTTTCTTTACCCATCCGTTGGAGGCGACAGTTGTCCATGCAGTGCAGAAATGGGACAAGTCTCCAGTAATGGGGGTAGGATGGTCTGAAAGCGAAGCTCTCAATCTTCATGTCAAACTGCGGCCTGACATTAGGCAGAGAGGATACGGCTGAGGTGTTTTGTCCTCATCTGAGGCTTGTAGGATTTCTTCCTCTTCTGTGGTGGAGAGGACCTTTGGCGGCGGTGGTGGTGGTACTGCTGATAGTGTGGCTGTCTCT